CAAGTCTTGAATGGTTCCTCGCCAATTTGCTCGATTCGCGCCTACGTCATTTTTCTCGTATCGCTCTAGTATAGTTTGCACGATGTATCATAACTAGCGGTTTGATCGACCAACGGAATCACAAACTTGCTTAGCGAAATCAATGATCAATGAAGGAACGCTGCGTGATTTTCGAAAATCTCTGTTTTCGAGCATAATTGTCGACAATGGAAATTAAGTAGTACTTTCTCAAATATCTTTATAGATTAATACAAACATTACAGTTTTAAAAGAATGAAATCATCTTTCCTAAAATATATGTATTTGTACATCTTTTGATTCTTAAAATAATATAATTTTAATAGATACTTAATAGATATTTAATAGATAAAATATAATTTTAATAGATATAATATTAATAGATAGTTAGTCAATGCCTTTGAAAAATGTGTCATCATACTTTATTGTACGAAGAAAATTGTGATTCTCATGTATGCGTCCACGAGGACAACGGGACCGTCGATTTTTCTTATTTTCTTCGTAACTGGGCGTAACGTTCCGTTGCAGCTGAAGCAAACGGTGACTCGATAAGCACCATGATGGTCCCCCGGGGCAAAAACAAATAATAACTCGGCCACGAGAGGCCCTCGGTTAGCTACAACGTCCGACTGCGATGCCCATCTCTCGCCTTATTTGCAGGCGACTATCGCAATTTTGAAAATGGTTGTCTCATCACGAAGGGAGAGCCCGGTCTGGGACGTCGTCGATTACAGGGCGCGCCGCTGCTCGTCGTATTTCGGTGTTGGTTTTCGAGCCTTTTGTGTTAAAAAGACGCGCGTAATCATCCCCCCTCTCTTTCCTGTCCCCTTCGAGTCTTCGATACTTTTGCGAACACGTAAAATCAGGCAGGGGTTCAACAAGGTGGGAAAAAGAACGCCCATAGTCTGCCCCCCTTTCGTTCTCGCCCCGTGCCGCTTCCGATCGCCCCCAGGGCCTTAGGGCCCGCAACGAGTCGACTGGCCGACTTTTTGCCATGTCGCGAGCTTAGCATAGGGAATCATCGAGCGTATACTTCGACAACAGGTGTCGGGGTGGCCGGTTTTCAAGCGAGTGCGCAAAATTGCAGACTCGCGCCGTCGCCGCCGCCGCCGCTATCGAGTCGGTCGCGTGAGTGACTTTGCATGCATACGCGATTACGCGCTCGTAAACGACCGTTGCCGGCCTCATTGCGCGGTTTCTGCAACGGAGGTGCAATTCATCCACGGCGTTGTGACAGCTTTATTTAAGGGCCGGCGATACCACGAATAAAAGGGGACATTAATCCTGAAGAAAATGACTGTTCTCACCAAGCGAGAATCAACATGTTTACGAAGATGATAAATCTGCAAAAAGTATTGATAAAGAGTAATCTTTATGCTGATTTACGTGATTTAAATATTGATAAAAAGTAATATTTATACTGATTTACGTGATTTAAATGTATAATTATTATTTTACGATGTCTTATTGTCACATCCTTTATCTTAAGTTGAGGACCTCTTTGAATCGACATGGCAATTTACGAGATTCAAATTTATTTATTTAACCAAGGAAGAATCATAGAACAATTTTCAAAGAGATCAACTTTATAGCCCAAATACTCTCTGCTTTCACATCCTTTTCAATTTAGTCGAATAGTACATCTTTTACCCACTCGAATTCAAGTGCGTCGAAGAAGCATCGAAAGAAAGAGTAATTTAGTATCTTCGGACGAGAGGGAATTTTTCGGCCGCATTTTACGCCACGCAGCGTGCAGGCTAAACGCGTGGTTTGTTTTATGATTTATAGGATTTGTCATTGCGTGACGTAGTGCGGAAGAAGGGCGGGGGTTGTTAGCGCGACGCCGACAAAAGGACACACGCACACGCGCACACCTGTGCACCATCAGGCGGAAATTGCGGACGCTTCTTCGGCCCTCAAGTATGTTTTAAAAAGATGCGATCTGTTTTTGCGCACCAAATCGATTTGTCCGCAGAAACGTCCTCCACGTCGCGCACGATGCATGTGTGCGCACGTTCACACAGACGTGTGGCCCAAAAATGGGCTCGTTCGGGCCACAGCAGACCAGACGGGGAGCCAGGAAGTGATTCGATGAGGCAAAAAGACGAAGGGCACACAGTTACAAATTCGTTTCTCAGCAAAGTGGCAGCTGTGCCACGGTCATGGCCATATCAGCTTTTGAATCACGATAATAAAGATGGTACTGGCGACGTATGTATTATTGATGAATTCGCATTTATCAGTTTTTTGCTCGTTCTCCTTTAAAATGCATTTTTTTAGCCCGGGGTTATATCGTTTTCAACGCTTCGAGTATATAGACAAGCTAGTCGCTCGTGTGCGGACGTTCGTGGAACTTAAATTACTACTCGTTACAACTTTGAAAAACGCGCACATCGTCGTATATCCTATAATCTTATAATTAAATATAAAACGCGAGTTTATGTAGCTCATTTATTTACTGAATTAATTTATCGATCGATGAGACATAATTATCTGTTTGTTATCGTATATACGAAGGCCCACTAACGAACGCTTGTAAATATAATTTTCGCCGGGTGTACTCCCCCTTCATTAATATGCCGTGATAAAACTTCGAGAAACGGCGTCATAAAAATGGCAAAATAAATACACGATCGCGCGACTCACGATTATATCGTGACGGGAGACGAGACGGAGGATCGACGATGTCTCCCTCTTGTCCCGTTTCACTTTGCATTTTCGCGCCTACTTAATAACGTCGAAAAGAGAAATGGATGGAACGGACGATCGGGCAGCCATTAAGGCGAATCGTGGGGCTAATCGCTGTCGTTGATGGGACTGCTCCTCGGAGTCCGCCGGTGAGTGGCTCGGCTGACACGTCAACAAGTGAAACACTTTTTAAGCCGAAGAGTGTTTCAGCCGAGAATGCACTTAAGGACAGATGCAGTTTGCACGTTGCTACTGCGTGCGCGGGCACCGATGTGAGACGGATGATGGAGGAATGGACCTCTTGATGGAAATGGATTCATTAAAATAAAATAATGTATAGAATTACGCGATTTCTACGTCTAACGTAGCGAACGAGCGCCGAAACGAAAGCTACGAGATATAGTCTTCATCTGACGAGCACTAATTACGAGCTTCGAGATTACCTGCTTCCTAGTAACGAAGGTCTACCTTTCAAGGGCAAAGATCGTGTAATCTAGAAGAATCGTTCTCGTGCATGTGGATTGACGGATGATTGATGAAGGCTCACGGTGCCAAAGCACCGCCTACACAATTTTTATAATTAAAGACCGGAATGCTAATAGTTATTTTGCTATCTTTGTCTCATTTATCGAGCGTGTAAAGGAGAAACTCGTATCAACCCTTCTTTGAGATGAAAGGAACGAAGTATTGAATTAAATTAATTTCATATTTTAATTAAAAGCTTTAATTGATTCTATAAAACTTTGTCTAAATGAGCAAAAATGACAATGAGAGTAAGATATCAAAACAAGGACATTCTAATAAATTTTTATTGATGTATAAACATAAAATAATTTCTTTTTTTTGTATGAAATAAAAATTATAGCAAGGAAAGATTTTGCATTGAAAATTTACATTATAGAATTTATGCGTTTATCATCGCAACAGTGTTTTAAATTAAACTTCATTGAAATCACACAACAGAGATCAAATTAATAATCTTCGATGCACGCGACGATTCAATTCTCACACAGCCGTTGCTATTTAGGATACAAGACGTTCGTTTGGTTAGCAAAAAAAGTATGAGAAAGCATTTTGAAGTATGTAGCCTATGGCACATTCACGCGTTGCTAAACTGAATATGTTTGTTTAATGGTTTAAATTTATATTTATGAAATTTAAATATGACAACTTGCAATTTGTAAAAATTTGTGTTAAGAAAAAGAGAAATATGTTCTTAAAAAGAGAATATATTTTTAATATCTATAAATATTTCAAAAATTATATATAGACTATTACACCAACATGTATTTTGTCAACTTCTATGAAAAAAGATTCATCATATTTAAAAATTTCACAATTATAATATAAATATATATTTAAACATTTTATAAATATGCAAATTACATATTTATAAGAATAAAACGTTTTGTATTTATAATTTATAATATTACAAACATTTATGATATTAAAAACAAATTATTAAATAACTATATCTTTTTTTCGTGGTATTTGATAATATGATGTAATAAATATGTTTCAAAATATTTTTTATTATACAAATGTTTTGCTATAAATGTCTATCTCTTTTTATCTTGTAAATTAAAGGAAATTAACTAATAAATATATTACATTAAATGATTTGAAATCAAGTTTTATGAATAGAATTATCAATGATAATAATTATCTGTATTAGAGAATGTAAAAACATATATAAATTCTGTAATTAATAGATATTTCGATAGAATGAAAATTTTAGTGATATTTAAAACTAATATAATTATGTACACATGTATGTTTAATAAAATTATTTTATTATTATGCAAATTTTTTGAGTTTGAAAATTTTTAGGTTTTTAGATCATTATCCTTTCATTTTTAACATACGATTAATTTCCGACAGAATAAATATTATAATCACATAATAGTTTATTTCATACTACAGTTACTAAAATAGAAAATGAAAAGATAACAGTCTGAATAATAGCCTGATAAGAAGATGATAGCCTAAAAATTTTCAAATCTAAAAAATAATCATAATTTATAAAATAATCTTCATAAAAACAAATAATCTTCATAATTATTACGCTTATAATAAAGTTTATTTTTAACTTTTATTTTGCTATTATAATGATTTATAATGACTTTAACTTTTCTTTTTTAATTTATAAGATTAAAACGATCATTTAACGGAACATATTGTATAATTATTTTATCATGCTATTTTATCCTAATTTTATTATTGCAAGTTTTTCTTTTTACTAATTGTTTGTGATATAATATTGCATGAGCGTATATGCATGAACGTATTTTGAATTTTTTGCAAATTAAGTTGATATTCAGAGAAAAAATATAATGATGCATTATAACTCACTTTTGTCAGATTTTTCAACTGTAGATCCGATTCCATTGATACTTTCACATCACAAGATATTTTCATTAACTATTAGCAATTTACAAAAATATTAACATTGTAGATAATAAGCTGCGAATATTAATAGATATTTTTATTTTGTCTATGTTTGGTGCCCAATAAACTAAAGCGATTGTTTATAAATAACCGTAATATTTTTGCCATATTTTTTTTTATAATTTCATTGACTGCGGAAATGAGTGATCATAATGACTGTAAAATAAATAACTTATTTATCGTATAATTTTTCATCCTAAAATAATCTCACTATTGCAGCTTTTTCTTTTTACTGAGTACTTTTGGTATAGTACTTTGTACATGAGCGTATTTCGGATTTTTCGTAAACTTAGGTTGATAGTCAGAGGAAGAACGTGGTGATGCATTAAAATCCATTTTTATGGATTTTCCAACAGTTACATCATTAGATCCGATTTGGCCGGTACTTTTACGTCTCTCAGAAATACTCCCATTATCTAATGAAAGTAATCTGCGAGAAAATCTTGGTGTTACAGAAAACGCAGTACTTGACCTGCGAATATTGTTAGATATTTTTGTTTTGTTCATGTTTGGTGTACGATGGGAACTGAATTGACTATTGTTGTGACTGGGTGACTGCAGTATTTTTGCCGTACTTTGTTTGGACGATTTTGTTGATTGCAAGAATAAACGCTGTAAAATAAATAAATGTATATAATAAATGATATTTTACCTTAACATACACATATTTTATCTTAAAATTACTTCTAAATTATTCAACTTCGTCACGACATCCATAACAGACTTCTGTATTTCGCTCAATTGCAGAAAAAAATTTCGTGATAAATCTGTTTCAGCTTTTGTGGAATCCTCGAAAACTTCTTCTCGATCTTCATTGACTTCGTTGACTTCTTCGCGAACAAAAGTATCAGATCTGCTAATGTTGCCCACAAAGATCGCAGGATTTGATCGTGAAATATACTACAGACAAATTGAAAATAATAACATGCTAAATAATCAAATTATCAGAATGAATTTTTTATTTCTAAAGTCTATTTCTAAAAGTAAAATTGCTCATTGATTAATGACCCTACATAATTGTTTGTGGAAATAATATAACAGTAATGGGTATTACCTTCTTTTCATTTTGCAATTTACTGAAAGAATTATCATCTGCTTCTTTTTTAATAGCTTTTAATGGAACTTCCACACTAGAGAGATCATTATTTTCAACAGCAGATTGATTATCTTGAGATCTGTAAAAATGTAAAATTGTTGTCACAAAAGCGATAAAATAATAAAAATTATAATAATATAATAATAATATAAAGTAATAAAAATTATTACTAGAGACTACATATTAAACTTAAAGGTAAACTTTTAAAATAACCTGTTTGTATCGTTAATTTTTAATTCGTATTTGATTTTGTCTGTGATTGAAGCTTCTGGAGTCGATGCAGCGAATGTATCCATTGCTGTTGTTACTGTTTCTAATAAATTATTATCGTTTTCTTCCTCAAAACCCTTTATTGAGATTGCATTAAAGACATGACGTATGGCATAAATTATTTGTTCATCGGTTAAAGGCGTAACAATATTCGATGAATCTTTTTGAATCTAAATAAATATGAATTACAATAAAATTTCCATCATATATGTAAAACAATAATTATATATACATATGCACATACACAAACACACATATATATATAATTAATGAATTATATATTATATTAATAAATTAATTTATATATATATATATATATATTTATATTAATTACAAGTATATGCAACATATAAACAGAATAACAATCACACTTGACGCTTTTATAGATTATACATTTTACTCTCATTTATATATTTTACTATTCTTTTATTTTTTTATAACTTTTTAACCGAGTGAATGCTTACAATTGGTGAAGAAGTTCTCTTATAACGAATGATTAAACGCGTAAATTCTTCCGCAAATTTTAACATGCTCATTTTCGACTTCGACGGCACGACCGTCCCGGATGATACACACAAACGAACTAATTTCGAATGACTGCCCGATTGCACGACTTTGTAGTGACTCCCAATATTTATTATTCAGTGTAACGGCAATCAGTGCCGTATTGGTAATCATTCTCTTGTATCTTTCAACGGTGTCGAAAAGTAAAGTTACAGAAATTTTAATAAGAGAATCGACAATCTAATATATCTACAACAATAATTATATATTTATTTGTATTCGCCCGTCTTTTTCTTAAGTATTTACACGTGTCTCTTTCGACCATTATACTTCCTTTAGATTAATTCTGTTATTTAACAAATGAACACTGAAATTTTTATCCAGTCAAAGAAATTTGATATTTTTGTATTTCTAACTCGATAACATCAGGATAAAAACTTGTATAAAAATCCGCTTAATTTTTATCCAGTCAAAGAAATTCAATTCCTTTTTTATTTATAACATGATAACATCAGGATAAAAATTTGCATAAAAATCCACTTAGATCGATATTATAGGTGATCAGACAATTTTTGGCTCCGTATGGCCACTCTATCTATATTTGCGAGAATCATCGGTTTCTTCATAACCGAACTACCCTGCTCCCACGAGCCAACTTCGAAGTAGTTTCTGAAGTACGATGTGGCCACTCCTCCGCTCTGCCAATTATTCCCTGCCACACGTCGGACACTGATGGAGCAGCTCGCGAGAGAAGAGGCGTAGGGACATGATAAATCTCCCTCGGGGGAAAAACTAGCCGCCCAAAAATGTATGCACGCCGGAGATGGATGGGTGGAGTGCAAGGGCGGTGCCCGGGTATGCAGGGAGAGTTTCGTCTCAGTTTGTTTCTTGGGACTCCTCATCGGCCATGGTACCTCGGTCCCTTTCCCTTCTCCGTCTCTTGTCGCCCGACTGTGGCGCTTTTTTGTAAATTTTTTGGCGATCGAACGATTAGGGGAGGGCGGCGCTCGTCAGTCAACTCGGTGGGTGAATCTTCGGCGTATGCAGATACGCGCGTCGCCACTTTGGCAGCGACTTAAAAATAAAATCGTACGCGCAATAAGATTCGACGACGCGTTCGACACACCGTGCCAGCTGCTCGCTGAGAGCGCGTGCGGCGTCTTCCAGCTGGGTGTTTGTGATTAATAAAAGTTGTCACGACTATTGAAAAAAATATATTGAAAGTCCTTCAAAGTGTTAAGTTCTCCAATAAAAAAGATGAAATGGCATCCAGTCTGAATTCTAATAAATGAGAAAAAAACGAAATTGATATGGAGAAATAATTAAGTAGAAATAAAATCAATCTGCAGAAGTCTTTTTGGGAGTAGGATACAAGCACACATATAGCTCTATATATATTAGGATTAAATTGCAGCTTGCAGCCGGTGTTTGAACATTCGCGCAGCGGTTCGGTCCTAGCAAAATATTCCCCTTTCCTCATACATCGTCGTTGCTCCCGATACACTAATTTCGGCGTGTCCTTACAAATGAAAGGCTTCGCTGCGTCTGCATCGTTCCATAGCACCTTCCCAAATATTTATCATTTCCGATGCCGGATGTCCTCCAGCCGAGACCCGAAAGGATACGACACTACGGAGGCGCAGCAACTTCTCCTTCGTCGAAACGCACCGCTAATGCACGTGCAACCGCATCCCATACGAGAGATACGCCGGCGGTCGTTTGAAGTCCGAACATGTTTGAACAGCGGTCATTGTCTTGTCTTCAGTTTCTTCGTTTTCTGCTCTTCGTCACCGCCGTTACCGCCTCAGCAGACATCTCGGCTCAGATAAGAAGCGAATCAAGAACCACGCGAAAAGCATTTTTTACGACTTCGGTGACAAAAAATCTTGAGCAACGAATCAAACGATACGTTATCGTCAGATTCGTCGATGATAATGAACGGATGTACCGCTACTATTGTATCTTTTATGGCGCAACAATTTTATTGCTACATTAAAATGTTATTTTCTTAATAAAAAGCAAAATAGATGAATAAAAAATATTTCATTACGAATTTAAATGTAATACAAAATAATTGTAAAAGGTGCCAAAATTTATTGAAAATTGCTCAGAGCATCACCGTCAGAATCTCTTAACTCGGTCAAACATAAAAGCACGTCTTATTTAGTGACTCAATATTTGACTTTCGCCACATTGGACCACGAATCCTCCACGGTTCAACTGCCGCCGTTTGTTTGCAGTCTGCTTTCGGTTTTGGCTCGCGCCGGGTTGATTTAGGATTTAAGGATTTCCGCGTTTGTTATTCGACGATCACGTGGATAAATATACTTGAGATGATTCCTCTATTTAGGCAACCGCGGGTGGGCTCGTCTTGGTTGTTCCGGTTACGTCTTCGCGAAAAATCGCGTAGATAACTCGATTAAGTCGATTAAAAATTGATGAATTATAAATTTTATTAAGCGGAAATCCAAAAATATGCAAACATGAATAATTTGCAGGAAATATTAAACTTCAAATTCCTTCAAGAATAAAAAGAATGCGGATGAATTTGATGAATCTTATTTTATTATTATTTATATTTCTTATTTTCTTAAAAGATTAAAAATGAAACTAAGCTAGCTTTAAACTAGCCTAATTCACTAATGATATAGGAACGAAAAAAATCGATTTTGCAAGTGAAGAATTTCGACCTGAAGATGATCGGTCAAGAAAGAAAGGAAGATTCGGAAGTTCATCGAAAGAACCGGTGGTATCGTCTGTTTGGATAGTCTTTAACTGACCATTACACCTGAATGGGCTGCCTCAAAATGGAAAAGGGCAGCCTGATCCTTGATCCGACCGGCCTACTTCCTGTGGAACCCGAATGGGTAGATCCCAGGGACCAACGGTCAATGGTAATAATGACGAATGTTCTCTCACCGTGATTCCCGAGGAACCGCTCGCCGTTTCTGCGTTTCCAACTGGTCTTACCTGATTTCCTTTTAAGTATATTCATCGTGTGCGAACTCTCCTCGAACACTCGAAGAATCAACAAGCGGCGCAAGAATCTCGGGATCGCGTGATCATCGCAAGAAGTTGTAGCGTAGTGTTTCGCTGATCGCGTGGTGTGATTGGCTCTTTGATCTTCCAGGAACAACTCGTTCTACTCTTATGAAGAAAATTCGCGTCACAGAATTGCCTTTAATATAATAGCGTTACATATGGTTGATACATTCGACCACATTTACCCGTTATTATTTTTACATGATTACGTGCATCTTTCTGCTGAAAGTGCACAATGGGAACATTGGTGACCCAAAAGAATAACGTAAAACAATATACTTAAGCGCTTTTTGTGCGCACAATCGGTCACGTTCACGAGTGAGAACTGCAATTTCGAAGTAATGATGAGCATCCGTTATGGCGCGTAGATTGTCGCTATTATCGTTTACGACCAAAGATACAATGTTGTATCAAGAGTAAGTGATCCTTCTAACCACAAACCACACTCACCTTGAACATATTAGCGTGCAGCATCAGCTGCGCTAAGGTAGAAGGTAACGACCTTCAAAAGTATTAGAGCCAATTTTGCTTAAACTATGTGAGCATACATTATTTGCATATTATGTAAAAAAAAAGGATAAAATATACATACGGTAAGAGTGACATTGATCGCAAGGTAATAGCCACTTTACAATTTTATGTGCGTTATATTCAACAAAATAAACAACGGGCCGCGTTTAAATGCAATGAACTTGCAAATCTCACGAAGCTCTATTATATGCTCTGCCTCGCGATCGATTTGTCTCATGCCATCCATCATTCTCACCGGCAAGCTGCAACTGTCACTGCTCTGCTTTCGTCGTCCTGAGAATTGTCGGTGGGTCTTAAAGGAGACAGGTTCGTGACATAACACGACTCGTAAAGGGACATGGGTGCACGATGAAAACGCAGAGCCGGCCTCTCGGAGAGGCAGCACCTTTTCCACTCTTATACACGAAAATTCATTCCTTCTTTCCGCGAAACGAAAAACTGACCTGCTGCCCTTGTACAACACCACCGGGCATTGTCGCTTCCCTTCTTTCCTATTTGCTTGAGAGTTGCTTCCAAGGGATGTTTGTGCGAACCCGAAGAAAGTCGCAGCGTGGTGGGGACGTAAGTCGTGTGGCCGCACGCGTGTTTACTTAGGATCATCCTCCTCGGCCATCGGGATAATTCCGGAATCCCCGTGCAAATCCTCTCGCAGCAGGCCTGATACGGATTATAGCCTGTCGCAAAAATCGTTGGCAAAGCGTGGTACAAGGCAAGGAAGTCGAGGCTTGGAATACAATGCTCCATTCTTTATTAAAAATCTTTTAGAGATCACTGTGATCCGTGCGACTATATATCAGAAAACTCAGTGACATATATATTTATATAATACTGAGGCATCGTCACGCGCCGTGGTTTTCGTGATTAATTGCGAGATTGGGGGGCTAATCGACTTCCGCCGATAAATCAGCCGTATCGAACTAAGCTGCGCCGGTAACTCGATAACCATACCGCCCTTTGCAGTTCCTGTTTGTTGTCGATCCTGTTGGCTCGGTGTCCTCTTACAGGTTTCCACTTGCCGTCCAGAAGTCCGTCAGTTAGTTGGAAAACGGGTCTCCAAACCGCCACCGCTGGAAAGTTCCACTTGTAGTTTCTCCCGCTTCGTCTGACACAAAGAGCCACCAACTGTCGCCAACAGAGACACTGTCCAGATCGCCATCGGCGGTGGTTTATTAAAAATGTTGGAGCAGCACTTGCGGCTTGGCTCACCTGGTTTCTTGTCGCACTTCGGTCGATAGATCGATTCTGGATGACGACAATTTAAACGAGCGTTGTCGTCATCATTAACACAATTATCGGCTTTAAAATATTAACTTCATTTGTGATTCGTGTGATTTGCAATTTTACAGATGTTTTTACTACAATATAAAATGACATTGAGAAATATTTGAATCAGATATATCATGAATTTATCAGATGAATGTAGCAAGAAGATCTTCCGTTGCAGAAATCATTAAACTGACATTGTCATTAGATCGTAGTCACGATTGGCGAGATCGTGTTACTATTACAGAATCTCGTTTAACGAGTATACAGCCAATT